TGAGCAAATAAATAAATAATGAATAAATGACATAAGTAAATAAAGAAATGGGAGGAACAATAAATAAAGAAACCAATGGACAAGGTCTGAGCGCACGAATCTCAGAACGTGAGCGAGGCCCCTGCATAACCCACTGGGCCCATCCTCCAGGGAGCTGATGACCCTGGTGACCGGATGGGGAGCGTGAGACGGGGTGTCTGTGGGGCCACCCAGAGCTGGACGTCAGTCAGGCAGTCATTTAGGAGGAGAGCCAGCCCCTGGGGCAGCTCTCCCCAGACCTGTCGGGCCTGAGGTCAGCGGTCCGGCCCCTGCATCCTGTGGTGGGCAGGACGGGAAGCCCTGATAACTCAGAAATGTGGGGGCTCTGACCTCAGCGGCCGGCCCCTGCCGCCTGGGATCCCCGGGGAGGGAGGGAGGGCGAGGGCAGGAGGAAAAGGCAGACAGAAACCCCACAGTTACTTCAACCCTCTGAGTGCCAATCAATATCCTAGGAACTATGCTAAAATTGCCAAGGCGTTTTTGCCGATTTTACAGCAGTTTAGGGAAAAAAAATTACGCATCGCAAGTCAATGAAGTTACATATTCGAACACGTAAGGGGACCTTGGGTATATTGGCTTTCCTCTTTGACATATATTGTTTGCTGATCGTATTATAAAATCCTAGTAGAAAAAAAATTTGAACAAAACATATAATGTTAAAATATAGGGGGACGCCCTCCACCAGTATCTCCCATGAAATCGTCATCTTCGCAGCAAGAATCGACGGATTTAGCGAGATCATCATCGCTCATAAAAGCAGACTTAGGCCCTGACCGGTGTGGCTCAGTGGATAGAGCGTCGGCCTGCGGACTGAAGGGTCCCGGGTTCGATTCCGGTCAAGGGCATGGACCTGGGTTGCAGGCACATCCCCAATGGGGGGCGTGCAGGAGGCGGCTGATCGATGTTTCTAACTCTCTATCCCTCTCCCTTCCTCTCTGTAAAAAACCTTGAAATATGAATGTTTCTTGGTGTCACATTATATTGAAAATCGTTTTTCTTGCAATATTAATGTTTATTGCATGTAAACCTATACACATATATATACACAAATGAAAATTAAAAGAAAAAATAAAAAAGATTGCTAATGTTACCCTAGCTGGTTTGGCTCAGTGGTTAGAGTGTCGGCCTGGGGACGGGAGGGTCCCGGGTTCGATTCCCGGTCCAGGGCACATGCCCGGGTTGCGGGTTCGATCCCCAACAGGGGGCGTGCAGGAGGCAGCCGATCCCTGATTCTCTCTCCTCATGGATGTTTCTATGTCTCCCTCTCCGTCTCCCGTCCTCTCTATCAATAAACATATATTTTTTTTAAAAAAAATAGAAACCAATAAAAAGTCTTAAAACAAACGGAAAAAGACCGCAGGCTCCTGGGACAGATACACGCAGGCCGGCCCCAGCGTCTCCCGCCCCGCACACACCCAGGAGACGGACAGCCCTTCGTCAAAGGTATAAAGTTTTATTACACAAACCTGGGGTCCGCCGCGTTTATTCCACAAATTACAGGCAGCAGCCAAACCTCCCTCGAGCGTATCTGCACGTCACAGTGATCTCCATTGTGCAAGGAACCGACGGGATTTGAAACAGGGTTTGTTTGTGTGTTTTTTGTTGGGTGGTTGGTGGGTTGAGTTTTTTGTTTGTTTTTTTTCCACCAAAATTAATAGGCGCGTCCGGCACAACCGTGTGCAAAGGCACTGAGCGGGGTGTCTGCGGGGCCAGCGGGGCCACGGCACAGTGCGCGCGCCAGAGGGACAACGAAGAGGCAGGAGGGCTGCCCGGGGGCCGGATGGCGTCCGTCCCGTCCACGGACACACACACACACACACACAGAGGCCACGGCCTTTCAGCTAAGTTAACAGAAGAACGTGCCCCACGAACGAGCCGACGACAGGGCTGAAGACACAATCGTTTACAGAAAAACCCGCATTTGTACAGCATTTTCCCCCGGGGATGGAGGGCCTGGACCCTCCGCCCTCAGGTGCAAGACCACGGGGTCCGCACAGCAAACGCGACGTGAAAGCTTTCCCTGGGCGTGCACTCCGCCTCCACCGACACACGCACACACACACGCACACACACACACACACACACGTAGGGGAAGCTGTGGCCCTGCAGACACCAGGCTCACACACACACACACACACACACACACACACACACACATAGGGGAAGCTGTGGCCCTGCAGACACCAGGCTCACACACACACACACACACACACACACACACACACATAGGGGAAGCTGTGGCCCTGCAGACACCAGGCTCACACACACACACACGCACACACACACACACACACACACACGTAGGGGAAGCTGTGGCCCTGCAGACACTCACGTAGGGGAAGTTGTGGCCCTGCAGACACCAGGCTCACACACACACACACACACACACACACACACACACACACGTAGGGGAAGCTGTGGCCCTGCAGACACCAGGCTCACACTCACACACACACACACACACACACACACACACGTAGGGGAAGCTGTGGCCCTGCAGACACCAGGCTCACACACACACACACACACACACACACACACACACACACACACACACACTCACGTAGGGGAAGCTGTGGCCCTGCAGACACCAGGCTCACACACACACACACACACACACACACACACACACTCACGTAGGGGAAGCTGTGGCCCTGCAGACACCAGGCTCACACACACACACACACACACACACACACACACGTAGGGGAAGCTGTGGCCCTGCAGACACCAGGCTCACACACACACACACACACACACACACACACACACGTAGGGGAAGCTGTGGCCCTGCAGACACCAGGCTCACACACACACACACACACACACACACACACACACACACGTAGGGGAAGCTGTGGCCCTGCAGACACCAGGCTCTCACACACACACACACACACACACACACACACACACACTCACGTAGGGGAAGCTGTGGCCCTGCAGACACCAGGCTCACACACACACACACACACACACACACACACACACACTCACGTAGGGGAAGCTGTGGCCCTGCAGACACCAGGCTCACACACACACACACACACACACACACACACACACACACACGTAGGGGAAGCTGTGGCCCTGCAGACACCAGGCTCTCACACACACACACACACACACACACACACACACACGTAGGGGAAGCTGTGGCCCTGCAGACACCAGGCTCACACACACACACACACACACACACACACACACACACACACGTAGGGGAAGCTGTGGCCCTGCAGACACCAGGCTCACACACACACACACACACACACACACACACGTAGGGGAAGCTGTGGCCCTGCAGACACCAGGCTCACACACAGACACACACACACACACACACACACACACACACGTAGGGGAAGCTGTGGCCCTGCAGACACCAGGCTCACACTCACACACACACACACACACACACACACACACACACGTAGGGGAAGCTGTGGCCCTGCAGACACCAGGCTCACACACACACACACACACACACACACACGTAGGGGAAGCTGTGGCCCTGCAGACACCAGGCTCACACACACACACACACTCACACACACACACGTAGGGGAAGCTGTGGCCCTACGGACACCAGGCTCACACACACACACACACACACACACACACTCACGTAGGGGAAGCTGTGGCCCTGCAGACACCAGGCTCACACACACACACACACACACACACACACACACACACACACGGGAAGCTGTGGCCCTGCAGACACCAGGCTCACACACACACACACACACACACACACACACACACACTCACGTAGGGGAAGCTGTGGCCCTGCAGACACCAGGCTCACACACACACACACACACACACACACACACACACACACACACGTAGGGAAGCTGTGGCCCTGCAGACACCAGGCTCACACACACACACACACACACACACACACACACACACACGTAGGGGAAGCTGTGGCCCTGCAGACACCACGCTCACACACACACACACACACACACACACACGTAGGGGAAGCTGTGGCCCTGCAGACACCAGGCTCACACACACACACACACTCACACACACACACGTAGGGGAAGCTGTGGCCCTACGGACACCAGGCTCACACACACACACACACACACACACACACTCACGTAGGGGAAGCTGTGGCCCTGCAGACACCAGGCTCACACACACACACACACACACACACACACACACACACACACGGGAAGCTGTGGCCCTGCAGACACCAGGCTCACACACACACACACACACACACACACACACACACACACTCACGTAGGGGAAGTTGTGGCCCTGCAGACACCAGGCTCACACACACACACACACACACACACACACACACACACACACACGTAGGGGAAGCTGTGGCCCTGCAGACACCAGGCTCACACACACACACACACACACACACACACACACACACACACGTAGGGGAAGCTGTGGCCCTGCAGACACCAGGCTCACACACACACACACACACACACACACACGTAGGGGAAGCTGTGGCCCTGCAGACACCAGGCTCACACACACACACACACACACACACACACACACACGTAGGGGAAGCTGTGGCCCTGCAGACACCAGGCTCACACACACACACACACTCACACACACACACGTAGGGGAAGCTGTGGCCCTACGGACACCGCCTCAGACACACACACTCACACACAAACACACACACACATGCCAAACAGACCGTCCGAATACATTACCCACACACCCATTCTTGTGCTATTTCTCTGTGTTTTTGCAAGTGGACGTCACCCCCCTCAAGATGCACAAATTCGTCAGAAACTGGCCTATTTTTCCATTTTTTCCTTTTTTTAAAAAAAATCCACCGCTAAGGACATTTTTCCACCGATTTTTAGAGAGAGTGGAAGAGAGAGAAAAAGACAGAGAGAAACGTCGATGTGAGAGACACACATCGACGGGTTGCCTCCTGCACGTGTGCCCTGACCAGGGCCCGGGCCGGGGAGGAGCCTGCCACCGAGGTATGTGCCCTTGACCGGAATCGAACCCGGCACCCTTGAGTCTGCAGGCCGAGGCTCTATCCACTGAGCCACACCGGCCAGGGCAGACACAGGGTTTTGAATGAGCAGCACCAGCCATCTTTTCGCTAGAAAAGTCGTCCCACGTTCAGCTCGACTGGGGAACCCGCCACTGGCTGCACGCGGGTCTTGACGTTTAGATGTGCAGCACGAAATGAAACGTTCTAGACACCTAGAGAAAGTTGGCTGTGGGCGGGGCTGAGGATCTCTGGGAGCGGAAGGCGGGAGGTGGACACATCGTATCTTTTTGCTGCAAAGATTTTTGCGAATTCTGCCCAGTCGACAGGCCCGGGTTGCGGGCTACATCCCCAGTAGGGGGCATGCGGGAGGCAGCCGGCCCATGATTCTCTCTCATCATCGATGTTTCTCTCTCTCTCTCTCTTCCTTCCTCTCTGAAATCAATAAAAATATACTTAAAAAAGTAATAATTAAAATAAATAAAATTCAACCGTTTCCTTCTGGTTTCAAGACCTAACGTTACCAGACAGATGGGAGGCACGAAAAGACGTTAGCGATAGAAGGCCACACACATTGGCTACACCAAGAGCTAAAAAAATGCATAGAAGGTGATAAAAAAAATTAAATAAAAACGCACCCATCATCCTTTTAGGGCTTTGTTCTCCGAAGACAACACAGATTCCTGAGGAATAGGTTTTTTTTATTCATTTTTGCTAAACCTCCCCTGAGGGTATTTCCCCATGGATTTTTAGAGAGAGCGGAAGAGAGAGGGCGAGACAGAGAGAAACATCGATGCGAGAGAGACGCCTCGATGGGTTGCCTCCCGCACGAGCCCCAGGGAGGAGCCTGCCACCGAGGTCCGTGCCCTTGACCGGGAATCGAACCCGGGACCCTTGGGTCCGCAGGCCGACGCTCTATCCCCTGAGCCACACCGGCCGGGGCCTGAGGGAGAAATTTGAAAGCTAAACATCACCGGCTCTGGGGCCTGTGAGCACGGACATGACCGTACGGTGTGCGTCCTATAGTCTTTCACGCCTACACACACACACACACACACACACACACACGTGTGCACGTGTACACACACGCCCTCTGTGGTCATAGCCAAACACGTCCAGTTCGAGCTTGTCCAGCGGAGTCTGTGGGGAGAGGGCGAGAGGTGCACACAGTAGGACCGCACGCGAGAGGACGCGGTCAACGCTACGACGGCTTGGGGCCCTACTGTGCGCAGGCTTCCAGTTGCTTCAATAACGCAATGTCGACGCGCGTCCAGTGCCGGCCGATCCCTTTATGTACAGGCGGGCGAGGGACCCCGGGGTGCAGTGTCCGGCACACCCGGGAGAGGACCGACCCTTCGAGGCTGCCTGCAGGCTCCACTCCTCCCGTGTCTGGTGGGGAACGGGACACAGGACCGGGTTAGTTTCCAAGTAAGTGGGCAAAACTGTGCGATCATCTATCCTCATAAAAGGGTGATATGCTAATTAGGCCGGGAGACCTTCCGGACGTCCTTCCGGACAAAGCCATGGTGGTGGGGACCAGGCAGAGGCGGTTAGGGGCGATCAGGCCGGCAGGGGAGGGCAGTTAGGGGCGATCAGGCCGGCAGGAGGGGGCAGTTGGGGGCGATCAGGCCGGCAGGGGAGGGCAGTTAGGGGCGATCAGGCCGGCAGGGGAGGGCGGTTAGGGGTGATCAGGCTGGCAGGAGGGGGCAGTTGGGGGCGATCAGGCCGGCAGGGGAGGGCAGTTAGGGGCGATCAGGCCGGCAGGGGAGAGCAGTTAGGGGCGATCAGGCCGGCAGGGGAGAGCAGTTAGGGGCGATCAGGCCGGCAGGGGAGGGCAGTTAGGGGCGATCAGGCCGGCAGGAGGGGGCAGTTGGGGGAGATCAGGCCGGCAGGGGAGGGCAGTTAGGGGCGATCAGGCCGGCAGGGGAGGGCAGTTAGGGGCGATCAGGCCGGCAGGGGAGGGCAGTTGGGGGCGACCAGGCCGGCAGGGGAGGGCAGTTAGGGGCGATCAGGTCGGCAGGGGAGGCAGTTAGGGGCGATCAGGCCGGCAGGGGAGGGCAGTTGGGGGCGATCAGGCCGGCAGGGGAGGGCAGTTAGGGGCGATCAGGCCAGCAGGAGGGGGCAGTTAGGGGCGATCAGGCCGGCAGGGGGGGCAGTTGGGGGCGATCAGTCCAGCAGGTGAGCGGTTAGGAGCCAGCGGTCCCGAATTGTGAGAGGGTGCAGGCCGGGCTGAGGGTCACCCCATCCCCCCTGCCCCATGCACGAATTTTGTGCACCGGGCCTCTAGTAATAATAATAGCACCAAAGAAACAAACCATCGTTGGAATCTTTTTTTTTTTTTTTAATGGATTTTCTGTCTTAAAAACTGAGCCCTGGCCGGTGTGGCTCAGTGGATAGAGCGTCGGCCCGCGGACTGAAGGGTCCCAGGTTCGAATCCGGCCAAGGGCATGTACCTGGGTTGCGGGCACATCCCCAGTGGGGGGCGTGCAGGAGGCAGCTTATTGATGCTTCTCTCTTATCATCGCTGTTTCTGACTCTCTATCCCTCTCCCTTCCTTTCTGTAAAAAATCAATAAAAATATTTAAAAAAATTTTTTTTTGGAATAGATCGGGCTGGCTTTGGTTCATCAAAGGACACCCGTTTCCGGTGTCCGCTGCCATCATACATCGTCTGTTTAGTGCACTAACCTCGCTGCTTTCTATTACAATTATTTTAAATATGTTTTTATTGATTTCAGAGGAAGGGAGAGGGAGAGAGAGAGAATCATGGATCGGCCGCCTCCTGCACGCCCCCACTGGGGATGTGCCCGCAACCCAGGTCCATGCCCTTGGCCGGAATCGAACCCGGGACCCTTCAGTCCGCAGGCCGACGTGCTACCCACTGAGCCACGCCAGCGGGGAATTGGCTGTTGTTATTGTTTTGTTTTAAATAATACCCTGCACAGACGCACCTGCTGGGGCGGCGGCCGCCCTCAGAAGTTCTTGAAGGCCTCCAGGTCTTTGGGGGACGCCGGGGGGGCTGTGTTCCAGTCGTTCTCAGGGTACGCCTCGAAGTTGGAGGTGTCGCCCTCGCCGCGCACCTTGGGCAGGATGGGGGGCTGAGGGGGGGGGCGGCCGAGAGAAGGGGTGCGGTTAGATCAGACGGAGAGGGTGAGGCCGGGGGAAGGGGGGTGGGTGGGCGGGAGGTGACCGAGCAAGGACTTTGTACGCCTTTAGGCATCAGCCATGGACACAGACAATAATGGGGGGGTGGTGAGGGCCTGGGGAGGGGGGAGGGGGCGGGGGGTGGGGGGTGAGGCCTGGGGGTGGTCAACAGGGTTAAGGAGGAGACACACACTGACCGGCCAGATGGTGATGGCCACCCCAGCAGGCCTTCACGGACACGCCCCCAAAATACTGAATATTGAAAACTCCCTAAGCAAACACTCCCAAGGTCTTATTATCATTATTAATTTGCGTAACTAATTCAGTTCATTGCATGATGGGGTAGTCATCATAATCAGGCCTCTCAGTGTATCATGTATCTATCATTCCGTCCATCCTATCAACTACCTGTTTATCTATCTATCTATCTATCTATCTATCATCTATCCATCCAACCTATCACCTATCTATCTATCTATCCATCCATCCTATCATCTATCTATCCATCCGTCCATCCTATCAACTACCTGTTTATCTATCTATCTATCTATCTATCTATCCACCTATCCATCCATCCTATCATCTATCTATCTATCTATCTATCTATCTATCTATCTATCTATCATCTATCTATCTATCTATCTATCTATCTATCTATCTATCTATCCACCTATCCATCCATCCTATCATATATCTATCTATCTATCTATCTATCTATCTATCTATCTATCATCTATCTATCTATCTATCTATCTATCTATCTATCTATCTACCTATCTATCATCTCTATCTATCTATCCATCCATCCTATAATCTATCTATCTATCTACCTACCTACCTACCTATATTTGTCATCTATCTATCATCTATCTAGATCATCTATGTATCCATCCATCCTATCATCTATGATATGGGCTGGGCTGATCCTGGAATATGGGCTGGGCTGACCCTAGGATATGGGCTGGGCTGACCCTAGGATATGGGCTGGGCTGACCCCTATGATATGGACTGGGCTGACCCTAGGATATGGGCGGGGCTGACCCTAGAATATGGGCTGGGCTGACCCTAGGATATGGGCTGGGCTGACCCCCAGGATATGGGCTGGGCTGACCCCTAGGATATGGGCTGGGCTGACGCTAGAATATGGGCTGGACTGACCCTAGGATATGGGCTGGGCTGACCCTAGAATATGGGCCGGGCTGACCCCTCGGATATGGGCTGGGCTGACCCTAGGATATGGGGTGGGCTGACCCTAGGATATGGGCCGGGCTGACCCTAGGATATGGGCTGGGCTGACCCTAGAATATGGGCTGGGCTGACCCCTAGAATATGGGCCGGGCTGACCCTAGGATATGGGCTGGGCTGACCCTAGGATATGGGCTGGGCTGACCCTAGGATATGGGCTGGGCTGACCCTAGAATATGAGCTGGGCTGACCCTAGGATATGGGCTGGGCTGACCCTAGAATATGGGGTGGGCTGACCCTAGGATATGGGCTGGGCTGACCCTAGGATATGGGCTGGGCTGACCCTAGTATATGGGCTGGGCTGACCCTAGGATATGGGCTGGGCTGACCCTAGGATATGGGCCGGGCTGACCCTAGAATATGGGCTGGGCTGACCCATAGGATATGGGCTGGGCTGACCCTAGAATATGGGCTGGACTGACCCTAGGATATGGGCTGGGCTGACCCTAGAATATGGGCCGGGCTGACCCCTAGGATATGGGCTGGGCTGACCCTAGGATATGGGGTGGGCTGACCCTAGGATATGGGCCGGGCTGACCCTAGGATATGGGCTGGGCTGACCCCTAGGATATGGGCTGGGCTGACCCCTAGAATATGGGCCGGGCTGACCCTAGGATATGGGCAGGGCTGACCCTAGGATATGGGCTGGGCTGACCCTAGGATATGGGCTGGGCTGACCCCCAGGATATGGGCTGGGCTGACCCCTAGAATATGGGCCGGGCTGACCCTAGGATATGGGCTGGGCTGACCCTAGGATATGGGCTGGGCTGACCCTAGGATATGGGCTGGGCTGACCCCCAGGATATGGGCTGGGCTGACCCCCAGGATATGGGCTGGGCTGACCCCCAGGATATGGGCTGGGCTGACCCCCAGGATATGGGCTGGGCTGACCCCTAGGATATGGGCTGGGCTGACCCTAGGATATGGGCTGGGCTGACCCTAGGATATGGGCTGGGCTGACCCTAGAATATGGGCCGGGCTGACCCCTAGAATATGGGCTGGGCTGACCCTAGGATATGGGCTGGGCTGACCCCTAGGATATGGGCTGGGCTGACCCTAGAATATGGGCCGGGCTGACCCCTAGAATATGGGCTGGGCTGACCCCTAGGATATGGGCTGGGCTGACCCTAGAATATGGGCTGGGCTGACCCTAGAATATGGGCTGGGCTGACCCCCAGGATATGGGCTGGGCTGACCCTAGAATATGGGCCGGGCTGACCCCTAGGATATGGGCCGGGCTGACCCTAGGATATGGGCTGGGCTGACCCTAGGATATGGGCTGGGCTGACCCCTAGAATATGGGCGGGGCTGACCCTAGGATATGGGCTGGGCTGACCCTAGAATGTGGGCTGGGCTGACCCCTAGGATATGGGCTGGACTGACCCCTAGAATATGGGCTGGGCTGACCCTAGGATATGGGCTGGACTGACCCCTAGGATATGGGCTGGGCTGACCCCTAGGATATGGGCTGGGCTGACCCCTAGGATATGGGCCGGGCTGACCCCTAGGATATGGGCTGGGCTGACCCCTAGGATATGGGCTGGGCTGACCCCTAGGATATGGGCTGGACTGACCCTAGGATATGGGCTGGGCTGACCCTAGAATATGGGCCAGGCTGACCCCAGAGTGTGGCCTGACCCACAGGATGTGGTCACAGAGCTACTGGGGAATGGACCCAGCTCCCTAAGGCCCCGCAGACACCCCGCCTCCCGTCCTCCCCCCGTCTCCATTCCTCTTCTGCGCTCAGATGGCCACGGCGCAGCCAGCGTGGTCTCAGGGACGCCCTGAGACGGCCGGTCCGACCGTCCAGACCCATCCCGCATCCGCCATAAACCCGGGAATCTCGGGGTCTGAGGGCAGGGGCGCCCCTTTGGCGTCGGCCGTACCTTGAGTTTCCTCTGGGGGACGGCGTCCCAGTCCACCAGGCGGAACCAGCGATGCCTCTTCACGTCCTCGGCCCCGTTCTTTGAAAGGAAACAGGGGCCATCAGGGCACAGAATTCAACCACTGGGGAGAGAACATGTTCTAAGCAATCTCCCTGCCCGGCTGGTGTGGCTCAGTGGTTAGAGCGCCGACCTGGGAACCAGGAGGTCCCGGGTTCGATTCCCGGTCAAGGGCACAGGCCCGGGTTGCGGGCTCCATCCCCAACCAGCAGGGGGCGTGGGGGAGGCGGACGGTCGATGTGTCTCTCTCTCTCTCTCTCTCTTCCGGACCCTTCCGTCCGCAGGGGGACGCTCTATCCACTGAGCCACACCGGCCAGGGCCTGGATCATAACTTTTAAGATTTTCCTATTATTTCGCCCACAGGAAAGGACTCGATTGATACAACTGCAAAAAGGAAGAAATGCTGATGAATTCTTTCTACGTGTTTTTTTTTAATCCCACTATGGTGACCTGTCGTCTTTTCCTTTGGGGGATAAATGTTGTCCGTCCACATCTAAGTCCAAGAAGAAATATCTGTTGGGTGTTACCTGCGTGAGGTTAAGAGACAGAAAGAAAGACACGAAGTTGACTCTCAAGTTGTCCAAACTCTAGTAGGGATCCTAAGGTATTGTGATAGCTAGAGAGATGATAGATAGATAGATAGATAGATAGATAGATAGATAGATAGATAGATAGATAGATAGATAGATAGAAAGACAGGTCAATAGATTGAAATATAGATGATAGATGGATAGATGGATAGATAGAAGCACAGGTCAATAGATTGAAATATAGATGATAGATGGATAGATAGATAGATAGATAGGCAGGTCAATAGATTGAAATATAGATGATAGATGGATAGATAGATAGATAGATAGATAGACAGGTCAATAGATTGAAATATAGATGATAGATGGATAGATAGATAGATAGATAGATAGACAGGTCAATAGATTGAAATATAGATGATAGATGGATAGATAGATAGAAAGGCAGGTCAATAGATTGAAATATAGATGATAGATGGATAGATAGATAGAAAGGCAGGTCAATAGATTGAAATATAGATGATAGATGGATAGATAGATAGATAGATAGATAGACAGGTCAATAGATTGAAATATAGATGATAGATGGATAGATAGATAGAAAGGCAGGTCAATAGATTAAAATATAGATGATAGATGGATAGATAGATAGATAATAGAGAGATAGAAAGAAAGAAAGACAGGTCAATAGGCTGAAATATAGATGATAGATGGATAGACAGATACATATACACACAGAGAGAGACAGATAGAATAACAGATAACAGAAAAAGAGATGAAACCTGGATAGACAGATAAAAAGAGATAGATAGATAGATAGATAGATAGATAGATAGATAGATGATACATAGACGATAGACTGATAGAGATGAAGGATGACTAGATTAATGAATTGGGTGAGTGAGTGAATAGATGATCGATAGATAGAAAGAAAGATAGTAGATTGATTGATAGCTAGAGGATACATAGATGATAGAGATGAAGGATGACTAGATTAATGATTTAGGTGAGTGAGTGAATAGATGATTGATAGATTGATTCATAGAAAGAAAGATAGTAGATTGATTGATAGCTAGAGGATACATAGATGATAGAGATGAAGGATGACTAGATTAATGAATTGGGTGAGTGAATGAATAGATGATAGATAGATAGATATGATAGATAGATATGATAGATAGATATGATAGATAGATGATAGACGTTAGATGACAGACATATGACAGATTGATAGATTGATTGATAGAAAGATAGATATAGGAGACTGACTGATAGTTAGATGATACATAGATGATAGAGATGAAGGATGACTAGATTAATGAACTGAGTGGTGGGTGAATAGATAGATAGATGGATAGATAGATAGATAGATAGATAGATAGATAGATAGATAGATGATAGATAGATGATAGATAGATAGATAGATGGATGGATAGATAGATAGATAGATAGATAGATGGATAGATGTTAGATGACAAATGGATGATAGTAGATTGATAGATAATAGAAAGATAAATTGATAGTAGATTGATTAATAGATAGATGATAGCTAGAGAGAGATGAAGGATGAATTAGATTAACGAATTGGGTGAGTGGGTGAATAGGTAGGTAGATAGATAGACAGACAGACAGACAGATAGACAGATAGATAGACAGACAGATAGATAGACAGACAGATAGACAGACAGATAGATAGACAGATAGATAGATAGACAGATAGATGGATAGATAGATAGATAGATAGATAGATAGATAGATAGATAGATAGACAGATAGATAGACAGACAGATAGACAGACAGATAGACAGACAGATAGATAGATAGATAGACAGACAGATAGATAGACAGACAGATAGACAGACAGATAGATAGATAGACAGATAGATGGATAGACAGACAGATAGATAGATAGATAGACAGACAGATAGATAGACAGACAGACAGACAGATAGATAGATAGACAGATAGATGGATAGACAGATAGATAGACAGACAGATAGATAGATAGATAGACAGACAGATAGATAGACAGACAGATAGACAGACAGACAGATAGATAGACAGACAGATAGACAGACAGATAGACAGATAGACAGACAGACAGATAGATAGACAGATAGATGGATAGACAGACAGATAGATAGATAGACAGACAGATAGATAGACAGACAGATAGATGGATAGACAGACAGATAGATAGATAGATAGACAGACAGATAGATAGACAGACAGATAGAAAGAAAGATAGATAGATAGACAGATAGATGGATAGACAGATAGATAGACAGACAGATAGACAGACAGATAGACAGACAGATAGACAGACAGATAGATAGATAGACAGATAGATGGATAGATAGAGAGGCAGATAGATAGTTGACAGATAACTAATCACTTATCAATGCTGAGTCATTGGCTAGTACGGACACACGGGGAGACGGGTGCGGACCGAGGTGAATTTTGTGGGCCCAGGAACCGAGACGGAATCTGGCCGCGGATTCAACGGGACCCTGTACCCCCGACTCTCTCTCCACATGGAAACGCTGGCGTCGACTGACAGGGACTCATCGTGAAAACCCCTTAACCCTCACGGCCGCACGTCTCACCTTCATGTTGCCCAGGCGCCGCGTCCTGTCCACCACCAGCAGCTTCTTGATGAGGTCTCTGTCGGGAAGAAGAGGGAAAAAAAGAATAAAAAATATACAGCCCGGCCGGCCTGGCTCAGAGGTTGAGCGTCCACCTGGGAACCGGGCGGTCCCGGGTTCGATTCCCGGCCAAGGGCACAGGCCCGGGTTGTGGGCTCGATCCCCAGTCGGGGGCGTGCGGGAGGCGGCCGGTGCGTGATTCTCTCTCCTCATAGATGTTTCTCTGTCTCTCTCCCCCTCTCCCTTCCTCTCTGAAATCAATAAAAATATATATATTTTCTAAATATATAAAAAAATATATATATTTTAAAATATACATTTTATTTAGATATATAAATAAAATATACTTAAAAAAATAAAAGGAATGAGGTACAAGAAATATCTTCAGCAGGAAAAGACCCCCCCCAAAAAAAACAGGTTAACTATCATGAAAACAGAATCCAAATAATTCCGACATATCCCACTGAATCTAGAGCTATGGGCACATCTGCCCGCGAGATGCCTGGCGTCGGGTTTTTGGGGTTTTTTTGTGGGTTTTTTTGACGCTTTAAAAAAAAAAATCAACGCGCCCCCAGACAGGGAGGGAACCTTGGTACTGACTTGACGTTGAAATCCAAGTATCTCGGGAAGTCGATTTTGCCGGCGAGAATCTTCTGATAGATGCCAAACGGGTTGTCGTCGAAGAACGGAGGGAAGCTGCCGGAAACATGAACACGGGTTGGTTCTCCCGGGGCCGGGGGGCTCGGGGACAAGCCGCCACGGGGAGGGGGGGAGGGCTGTGGCCGGGCCACGGAGAGAGACACGGGTTATTTCAAATGCAGCCTTTTTTTTTTTTGCTTTTGATGTCAATCCCTTCGATTCGATCAGCATCACCAAGGACCGATGATGGCCCAGGAGCAGGGTCAGGGAAGACCCATGAAGACTGCGGCTTTGCGTCTGTGCCAGCAACGCCGGGGGGGCCGTGGACCCGATGGGCTATTCCATCCATAAACCCTAGACTGTCTACTTTATGAATCAATAGAAAATTTACAATTTTTACGTATCAACCAGTGTTTTCTATCAAAATTACTTCTTGCGTGAATTTTGGGACGCCCTTTATATATACACTAGAGGCCCAGTGCACGAATTCGTGCACTGGAGAGGAGGGGTGTCCCTCAGCCCAGCCTGCACCCTCTCCAATCTGGGACCCCTCGAGGGATGGCCGACCCTGCAGGCCTCGTCCCCGCCCCAACTGTCATCTTGTGATGACCTGGAGGTGACCACCTTGTGAGGGCGTGAGGGTCAATTTGCATATTTCCTCTTTAGTATATGGGATACACTAGAGGCCCGGTGCACAAATTCGTGCACAGCTGGGACTCGGCTGGGCCCCTGGTCGAACTCCCGGTTGAATTCCCAGTTGAGGGGGCAATTTGCACATCAGCCCTGTCTTATATAGGATATTTTTATTGATTTCAGAGACGAAGGGAGAGGGAAAGAGAAAGAAACATTGATGATGGGAGAGAATCATGGACCGGCCGCCGCCTGCACGCCCCGCACTGGGGATGGAGCCCGCAACCTGGGCCTGTGCCCTTGACCGGGAATCGAACCCTGACCTCCTGGTCCATAGGTTGACGCTCAACCACTGAGTCATGCCGGCCGGACAATGTAGAACTCTATCTATCTATCTATCTATCTATCTATCTATCTATCTATCTATCTATCTATCTATCTATGTATCTATCTATCTATCTATCTATCTATCTATCTATGTATCTACCTATCTATCTATCTATCTATCTATCTATCTATCTATCTATCTATCTATGTATCTATCTATGTATCTATGTATCTATGTATCTATCTATCTATCTATCTATCTATCTATCTATCTATCTATGTATCTACGTATCTATCTTTCTATCTATCTATCTATCTATCTATCTATCTATCTATCTATCTATCATCTATCTATCTATCTATCTATCTATGTATCTACCTATCTATCTTTCTATCTATCTATCTATCTATCTATCATCTATCTATCTATGTATCTACCTATCTATCTTTCTATCTATCTATCTATCTATCTATCTATCTATCTATCTATGTATCTACCTATCTATCTTTCTATCTATCTATCTATCTATCTATCTATCTATCTATCTATCTATCTATCTATCTATGTATCTATGTATCTATGTATCTATCTATCTCTATGTATCTATCTATCCATCTATCATCTATCTATCATCTATTATCTATCTCTATCTATCATCTATCTATCTATCTATCTATCTATCTATCTATCTATCTATCTATCTATCTTCTATTTATCTCTATCTATCTATCTATCTATCATCTAAATTAATTTTTATTGATCTCAGAGAGGAAGGGAGAAGGAGAGAGAGAAACATCCATGATGAGAGAGAATCATGGACCGGCTGCCTCCTGCTCGCCCCCTACTGGTTGGGGATGCAGCCCACAACCCGGGCCTGTGCCCTTGACTGGGAATTGAACCCGGGACCCTTCAGTCCGCAGGCCGACGCTCTATCCACTGAGCCACACCAGCCAGGGTAACGGAAATATTCTTGAAGCAAAATGTCCCCACGTCAGAATCTGAGGGTGACGAAGAACTTGAAGAATGAAGGGGGGCGAGCAGGAGGCGGCCGGTCCATGATTCTCTCCCATCTTTGATGTTTCTGACTCTCTCTCTCCCTCTCCCTTCGTCTCTGAAATCAATAAATTAAAAAAAAAAAAAAATAGAGAATAGTTTTGGCCAGAGTGTGTCAGTAGTAAGCGCATCCCCGCCTTTGCACCGAAGGGTCTTGGGTTCGAGTCCAAGTCAGTGTGGCTCAGTGGTGAGCGTCAACCTAGGAACCAGGAGGTCCCGGGTTCGATTCCCGGTCAAGGGCACAGGCCCGGGTTGTGGGCTGGATCCCCAGTGGGGGGCGTGCGGGAGGCGGCCGGTCCAGGATTCCCTCTCATCGTGGATGTTTTTATCTCTTTCTGTCTCCCTCTCTGACACCAATAAAAACATTTTTAAAAAACAAAGAAACCTCATAAAAACAAACCCATGAACGCCTTCTGTTTAGGAATCACTGGTCTCTGGGATTCAATTATCGTCGGGGCGACACTGCCCCCTAGTGGTCATTGCGGGAGGAACTCATGCCACAGGCCTCGTATCAGAACCTGACCCTTCCACATTGGAGGGGTCGCCTCAGGCCGTCGGAAAACACATCTATAATCACATATGGTTTTTGTGATTGATCACTGAGCTTTCATGATGTTCGATGTGTCACCATGAAAATCCATCCTGCAGGTCAGATGTTTCCGTGACGATCCGTAACAGCAGCCACATGACAGCGATGACGTAGCCACGAGAATAATGTTATGGTCGGGGGTCCCCACAGCATGGGGAGCTGCATTCAAGGGTCGCGGCCTTAGGAAGGTTGAGAATTGCTGAGATAGATGATAGATAGGTAATAGATAGATAGACATATAATAGATCGATAGATGATAGATAGATAATAGACAGATAGATAGATAGATATATAATAGATAGATCGATAGATACATAACAGATATATAGATAGATGATAGATAGATGATAGATATATAATAGATAGATAGGTAATAGATAGATAGATAGATAGATAGATAGATAGATGATAGATAGATAGATGATAGATAGATGATAGATATGTAATAGATAGATAGATAGGTAATAGATAGATAGATAGATACATAACAGATATATAGATAGATGATAGATAGATATATAATAGATAGATAGATAGGTAATAGATAGATAGATAGATAGATAGATAGATAGATAGATAGATAGATAGATAGATGATAGATAGATAGATGATAGATGATAGATACATAATAGATAGATAGATAGGTAATAGATAGATAGATACATAACAGATATATAGATAGATGATAGATAGATGATAGATATATAATAGATAGATGGACATATAATAGATAGATCGATAGATGATAGATAGATAGATAATATATAGATAGATAGATATATAATAGATAGATAGATCGATAGATGACAGATAGATATATGATGGATATAGATAGATAGATAGATAGATAGATAGATAGATAGATGATAGATATATAATAGATCGATAGATGACAGATAGATAGATAGATAGATCATAGGTAGACAGATAGATGATAGATAGATAATAGATAGATGATAGATAGATAGACAGACAGATAGATAGATAGATAGATAGATAGACAGACAGATAGATAGATAGATAGATAGATGATAGATAGATGACTAGATAGATAGATAGATAGATAGATAGATGATAGATAGATGACAAGAGCCAGGCACAAAGCGCCGGGCTGTGTCAACACTGGGGGACGGTGTCGAGTAAAACCTCATCTGGGAACGTCCGGTCGGCGGCGTTGGCAGCCCTGGTTCTCAAAGTGGGGACCCAGGGAACCCCCGGGGTTCCTCGTGGCCGTGCCGGGATTTTTCTTGTGAGACCATTTCTATTTTCCGATGTTTTTTCTGACTCCGAATCCTGAAAGCGGAAGGAAGCACCTTCTCCCTCTTCCTCCACCAGAACAACATTATCACACCAGGCCGGCTACACTCAAGAGCGGAAAATCTCATGGCCTTGCAGGAGGCCGCTGGATGGGGGGGAGGTGGGCGAAAACATGGACCCAGCCACACTTCTCGCTGAATGTGTTCAATTCGAGGAAAGACAGTTATTTTTCCATTACAAACATTTTTTTAAATAAAATATATATTTTTACTGATTTCAGAGAGGAAGGAAGAGGGAGAGAGAGAAATATCCATGATGAGAGAGAGAGAATGATGGACCGGCCGCCTCCTGCAGGCCCCCCGCTGGGGATCGAGCCCGCAACCCGGGCCTGTGCCCTTGACCGGGAATCGAACCCAGGACCCTTCAGTCCGCAGGCCAACGCTGTATCCACTGGGCCACACCAGCTAGAACATTCCATTAAAATGTTATTTGTGCTCATCCTCAGTGAGGCTATTATAATTTTAAGTAAATAAATATATACATCATTGCAGCCGGATAGCATATCAGATTATAATTATATCACTTCCCTTTCCATTCTTATGCTAATTGATTAGAAGAACTCTATTTTCTAATAGCATAGGTTCCCATGTTATAATGTATAGTATTCCTTAATGATAATATAGGAATATAATTATAGTGTATAGTATTCCTTAATGATAATATAGGAATATAATTATAATGTATAGTATTCCTTAATGATAATATAGGAATATAATTATAATGTATAGTATTCCTTAATGATAATATAGGAATATAATTATAATGTATAGTATTCCTTAATGATAATATAGGAATATAATTATAATGTATAGTATTCCTTAATGATAATATAGGAATATAATTATAATGTATAGTATTCCTTAATGATAATATAGGAATATAATTATAGTGTATAGTATTCCTTAATGATAATATAGGAATATAATTCTGGTGTATAGTATTCCTTAATGATAATATAGGAATATAATTATAATGTATAGTATTCCTTAATGATAATATAGGAATATAATTATAATGTATAGTATTCCTTAATGATAATATAGGAATATAATTATAATGTATAGTATTCCTTAATGATTAATATAGGAATATAATTATAATGTATAGTATTCCTTAATGATAATATAGGAATATAATTATAATGTATAGTATTCCTTAATGATAATATAGGAATATAATTATAATGTATAGTATTCCTTAATGATAATATAGGAATATAATTATAGTGTATAGTATTCCTTAATGATAATATAGGAATATAATTATAATGTATAGTATTCCTTAATGATAATATAGGAATATAATTATAATGTATAGTATTCCTTAATGATAATATAGGAATATAATTATAGTGTATAGTATTCCTTAATGATAATATAGGAATATAATTATAATGTATAGTATTCCTTAATGATAACACAGGAATATAATTATAACGTATAGTATTCCTTAATGATAATATAGGAATATAATTATAATGTATAGTATTCCTTAATGATAATATAGGAATATAATTATAATGTATAGTATTCCTTAATGATAATATAGGAAAATAATTATAGTGTATAGTATTCCTTAATGATAATATAGGAATATAATTATAATGTATAGTATTCCTTAATGATAATATAGGAATATAATTATAATGTATAGTATTCCTTAATGATAATATAGGAATATAATTATAGTGTATAGTATTCCTTAATGATAATATAGGAATATAATTATAGTGTATAGTATTCCTTAATGATAATATAGGAATATAATTATAATGTATAGTATTCCTTAATGATAATATAGGAATATAATTATAGTGTATAGTATTCCTTAATGATAATATAGGAATATAATTATAATGTATAGTATTCCTTAATGATAATATAGGAATATAATTATAATGTATAGTATTCCTTAATGATAATATAGGAATATAATTATAACGTATAGTATTCCTTAATGATAATATAGGAATATAATTATAACGTATAGTATTCCTTAATGATAATATAGGAATATAATTATAACGTATAGTATTCCTTAATGATAATATAGGAATATAATTATAGTGTATAGTATTCCTTAATGATAATATAGGAATATAATTATAGTGTATAGTATTCCTTAATGATAATTCCTTATAATCATGATTTGTATAGTAATCCTACTATAATTTTAATACATTCTAATGCTACTCTAACAATTTCCTATTACAGTCTGTGAATATTATGCTCAGCAATGCACCGCGTTATAACATTGCATTTACCAATAATGTTGCAAAATGGGATATTCTGCATTATTCTATCCTACCCTAATAATAAAACGATAAAGGGAAAACATGGGAACCTCATTCTATTTAAAGACCGCTGGGCTCTAGCCAGTGTGCCCCATTGGACAGAGCGTCGGCCTGTGGACTGGAGGGTCCCGGGTTCGATTCCCGGTCAAGGGCACAGGCCCGGGTTGCGGGCTCGATCCCCAGTTGGGGCCGTGCAGGAGCAGCCGGTCCATGATTCTCTCTCATCATGGATGTTTCTCTCTCTCTCTCTCTCTCTCCTCCTGCCCCGTCTTCCTCTCTGAAATCAATGACATACATTTAATAAACAAATATTTTAAGATCACGGTTCCCCAGGATTCAATTTTCATCAGGCAACACCGCCCCCTAATGGTCATTCCAGGAAGAAATCGAGCTGGAGGCCTCTTAGCAACACCGCCCCCTAGTGGTCACTCCAGGAATAAATCGGGCTACAGGCCTCTTATCAACACCGCCCCCTAGTGGACACTCCAGGAATAAATAGAGCTGCAGGCCTCTTAGCAACACCGCCCCCTGGTGGTCACTCCAGGAGGAAATTGAGCTGCAGGCCTCTTAGCCACACCGCCCCCTAGTGGTCACTCCAGGAATAAATCATGCTGCAGGCCTCTTAGCAACACCGCCCCCTAGTGGTCACTCCAGGAATAAATCGAGCTGCAGGCCTCTTAGCAACACCGCCCCCTAGTGGTCACTCCAGGAATAAATCATGCTGCAGGCCTCTTAGCAACACCGCCCCCTAGTGGTCACTCCAGGAGGAAATCGAGCTGCAGGCCTCTTAGTAACACCGCCCCCTAGTGGTCACTCCAGGAGGAAATCGGGCTGCAGGCCTGTTAGCAACACCGCCCCCTAGTGGTCACTCCAGGAGGAAATCAAGCTGCAGGCCTGTTAGCAACACCGCCCCCTGGTGGTCACTCCAGGAGGAAATCGGGCTGGAGGCCTCTTAGCAACACCGCCCCCTGGTGGTCATTCCAGGAGGAAATCGAGCTGCAGGCCTCTTAGCAACACTGCCCCCTAGTGGTCACTCCAGGAGGAAATCGAGCTGGAGGTCTCTTAGCAACACCGCCCCCTAGTGGTCACTCCAGGAGGAAATCGGGCTGCAGGCCTCTTAGCAACACCGCCCCCTAGTGGTCACTCCAGGATGAAATCAAGCTGCAGGCCTCTTAGCAACACCGCCCCCTGGTGGTCACTCCAGGAGGAAATCGGGCTGGAGGCCTCTTAGCAACACCGCCCCCTGGTGGTCATTCCAGGAATAAATCGAGATGCAGGCCTCTTAGCAACACCGCCCCCTGGTGGTCACTCCAGGAATAAATCGAGCTGCAGGCCTCTTAGCAACACCGCCCCCTAGTGGTGATTCCAGGAATAAATCGGGCTGCACGCCTCTTAGCAACACCGCCCCCTAATGGTCACTCCAGGAATAAATCGAGCTTCAGGCGTCTTAGCAACACCGCCCCCTAATGGTCACTCCAGGAATAAATTGAGCTGCAGGCGTCTTAGCAACACCGCCCCCTAGTGGTCATTCCAGGAGGAAATCGAGCTGCAGGCCTTATAGGGAACACCGCCCCCTAGTGGTCACTCCCGGAATAAATCGAACTGCAGGCCTATTATAGGAAGCTGATCAATACGGTACCTATTTAGGGAAATGGCGGTGAGAATCGCACCCCGGAAATTTTCAGAGTGTCCTTGGGGCCAAGGGATCAGGTCAAGGGAGCAGGGGACGGGAGCCTGGCAGGGGATAGTCCGATTTTCCCAGAATCCCTTACTCACCCCGAAAGCATCTCGAAGACGAGGATGCCCAGCGCCCACCAGTCGACCGCGCGGCCGTGGCCCTTGCTCTGAATGACTTCGGGGGCCAGGTATTCGGGGGTCCCACAGAGGGTCCAGGTCCTGGGAGGGTGGAGAGAGGACGGAAGCATGAAAACTCAGTTGGGCTTGGCGAGGGGTGAGTCCGTTGGTGATAAAGGGCGTCCCAAAATTCACGCAAGAAGTAATTTTGATGGAAAAGACAGGTTTATCATTAAAAATTGTAAATTTTCTATGGATTCGTAAAGGAGACAGTCTAGGGTTTATGTGTGGAATAGCACATCGGGTCCATGGCCTCCCCGGCTCTGCTGGCACAGACGCAAAGCCGCGGTCTTCATTGGTCTTCCTGGTCCCTGCTCCTGGGCCGTCATTGGTCCTTGGTGATGCTGATTGAATCGAAGGGATTGACATCCAAGGGCAACAGATATTAGAATCCGATTCAATAAACCCAGTAAAATTAGGCTTTTATGTTTTTTTGTTGCCGTTGTTAATGCTCACGCAGAATTCAAATCTTGCGTGAATTCTGGGACACCCTTTATATTGGCTCCGAACGGGGGAGCCGGCTGGTCAACCTCCCACAGTCCCTACCCCCATCCGGCTGGCCCCCCGATAGGCCTCGATCCCCGGCCAGGCCAAGGGACCCCACCCGTGTATGAATTCGTGCACCGGGTCTCTAGTATAAAATAATAGTGAGCCCTGGCTGGTGTGGCTCAGTGGATAGAGCGTCAGCCTGCGGGCTGAAAGGTCCTGGGTTCGAATCCGATCAAGGCACATGCCTGGGTTACAGGCTCGATCCCCAGTCGGGGGCGTGCGGGAGGCGGCCGATCCGTGATTCTCTCTCGTCATGGGTGCTTCTATCCATCTCTCTCTCCCTCTCCCTTCTGCTCTGAAATCAATCAAAAAAATGTATTTTTTAAAAAATAGAAGCATTGATGATATATCTGACCACACCTGAAACTAATATAAAATAATAGCGAATGCCCACTGTCATTGAAAAAGGAAAAAAAAACAAAATTTCATTGACTGAGGTGCATGTTTCAATATTATATATTTTTTATTTTTTTAAGATTTTAATATATTTTTTGAAATTCATTTCAGCGAGGAAGGGAGAGGGAAAGAGAAACATCCGTGATGAGAGAGAATCATCGATGAGCTGCCTCCTGCACGCCCTCTATTGGGGATCGAACCCACAACCCGTGCATGTGCCTCTGACCGGGAATCGAACCCGCAACCCTGCAGCCCGCAGGCCGATGCTCTATCCACTGAGCCAAACAAGCTAGGGCCATAGGAGAAATAATTTGCAAAAAAAAAAAAAACATAAAGAAAAAGAAAAGAAAAAAAATAGAAAAATTAGCTTCTAGCGCCACCTGGTGGCCAGTTGGGTGAACAGCCAAGTGGGGCCCACATCTAAGTTGAAGTTTTCTGGTTACGTATTTGATTATTTAATTTTTTTTCCCCCTAATTGGGGACCCCCCTTCTCTGTGCAGCCTTAGATGCCTTTTTTTTTATCTCCACAAATAGGAGAAAACAGGTCCTTTCTTCTTGCAGAAGAATTTTTTTTATACCTCAAAAGGGCGGCAATATTGGGGTAAAATCTATAGATTTTGAGACGTTCCTGCTAAAATCTCTATATGTGAGGCTCTGGATTGATGGTCTGCTCTGTTAATGGTCCTCTCTCTCTCTCACCCTCTAAAAATCAATGAAAAATTAAAAATAGCCCGGCCGGCGTGGCTCAGTGGGTAGAGCTTCGGCCTGCGGACGGAAGGGTCCTGGGTTCGAATCCCGGTCAAGGGCACACAGGCCCGGGTTGCAGGCTCCATCCCCAGTCGGGGGCGTGCAGGAGGCGGCTGGATGTTTCTCTCTCTCCCTCTCCCTTCCTCTCTGATACCAAGAAACATCTATTTTACAAAATTAAAAAACTAAATGAATTTTAGGCTGTTCGGAAAATGCAGAACCAATATTCTGAATTTTCTGCTAAGTTTGTATAATTGGATAGAATTTTCTTAATCTATTTGTATGGATTTCAGAGAGGAAAGAAAGGGAGAGAGAGAATCATCGATCGGCTGCCTCCTGCACGCCCCCCACTGGGGATCCAGCCTGCAACCCGGGCCTATGCCCTCGACCGGGATTCGAACCCGGGACCCTTCCGTCCGCGGGCCGACGCTCTATCCACTGAGCCACACCAGCCAGGGCTAATTTGATAGAATTTTGCTAAGGGAAATCTCACCCTTAGAAAGATACAGAAGCTATAAACTTCCAGTCGGGAGATGAATTATCATTTCACGGGAGTTCATAACACGGTGTCGCTTCTTGGAAAGCGGCCAGAGGGGAAAAAAAAATAAAATAACATAAAAATAATAAAGTTGCGAGAGGGCAGAGGTTACACCTGCTCATCACACCTGCCTGGCCGCCCAGAAGAGCCGGACGGAGGCGGCCACAGGTAACTGTATCGGCCTTCGATGCAGGGTGTCGGCTTCCACGTGGACGGGGAGGCGAGGCGAGGGGGGTGGGAGGGTGAGGGGCCCGGGCTGTATCCAATTCCAGTCTGTTAAGCACCCACAGGTGCCTGACACCTCGTTAGAGCAGAAAATTCCAACCAGAAAAGCCGCCGGCCCGGCCCGGCCAGTGTGGCTCAGTGGATAGAGCGTCGGCCTGTGGACTGAAGGGTCCCGGGTTCGAATCCCGGTCAAGGGCACAGGCCCGGGTTGTGGGCTCGATCCCCAGTCGGGGGCGTGCAGGAGGCGGCCGGTCCATGATTCTCTCTCATCATGGAGGTTTCTCTCTTTCTGTCTTCCTTTCTGACATCAATAAAAATATTTTTGTTTTTTTAAAAAAAGTTTTCATAAAAAAAAAGACAGAAAAGCTACCTTGAGGGACATGCTCTCTCACACCGGTCGGAATGGCTACCATGGGTCCATCCACAAACCAGGGGTGGAGAAAAGGGACCCCCCCTTGCACCTTACGAGGACGGGAGGGCATGAGGGTGGGTGCAGCCGCCGTGGAAAAACAGCGCAAAGGTTCCTCAAAAAAAAAAATTAAAAATAGAACCGTCGTCGGACCCACGGATTTCACTTCTGGCTGATGGCTGGCTTGTTCCCGAAACCCAGATACAGACACAACCTGAGAGTCGATGGGCCAAAAAGTACATTTTATTCTTATGATTATTATTATTATTATTATTTTAATTTATTTTATTTTTTACAGAGAGGAAGGGAGAGGGATAGAGAGTTAGAAACGTCGACGAGAGAGAAACATCGATCAGCTGCCTCCTGCACGCCCCCCACTGGGGATATGCCCGCAACCAAGGCACATGCCCTTGACCGGGAATCGAACCCGGGACCCTTCAGTCCACAGGCTGATGCTCTATCCACTGAGCCACATTAGCCAGAGCCAAGAGGAATATATTTTTAAAAATCAGTCCTAACTGGTTTGGCTCAGTGGATAGAGTGTTGGCCCTTGGACCGAAGGGTCCCGGGTTCGAATCCCGGTCAAGGGCATGTACGTTGGTTGCGGGCACATCCCCAGTGAGGGGTGTGCAGGAGGCAGCTGATCGATGCTTCTCTCTCATCAATGTGTCTAACTCTCTATCCCTCTCTGTAAAAAATCAATAAAATATATATATATATTTTTTATTTTTTTAAAAATATATTTTATTGATTTTTTAAAATATATTTTATTGATTGTTTACAGAGAGAAAGGGAGAGGGATAGGGAGTTAGAAACATCGATGAGAGAGAATCACGGATCGGCCGCCTCCTGCACGCCCCCCACTGGGGAGGTGCCCGCAACCAAGGTCCATGCCCTTGACCGGGAATCGAACCCGGGACCCTTCAGTCCGCAGGCCGACGCTCTACCCACTGAGCCACACCGGCCAGGGCCATAAAATATATTTTTTTTAAAAAAAACCAAAAACTAACAGACGCAGACAGGGGCCTGGGGGTGGCGGCCCCGGGGGCACCACGCCTCACCTGTCCACCAGCTTCTTGGCGAAGCCGAAGTCGGTGAGCTTGACGTGCCCGTCGCGGTCCAGCAGGATGTTCTCCGGCTTGAGGTCTCGGTAGACGATCTCCCTCGAGTGCAGGTAGTCGAGGGCGCACACGATCTCGGCCGCGTAGAACAGGCCGGCCGCGTTGGAGAAGCGGCCCCGGTTGCGGAGGTAGCTGAACAGCTCGCCGCCCGGCACGAACTCCATGAGCATGTACAGGAAGCGGTCATCGTGGCAGGTCCAGAACCTGCAGGGGAGAGGCCGGGGATGGAGGGCTGGGCCGGGCGGGGAGGGGGGTGGGGGCGCCTGGACCAGGCAGGTGTGCACAGGTGTGAGCACAGGTGTGAGCTCAGATGGACATGGAGGTGCACGTGTGGCCCCGTGGTTGAGCGTCAACCTAGGAACCAGGAGGTCACGGGTTCGATTCCCGGTCACGGGCACAGGCCCGGGTTGCGGGCTCGATCCCCAGTATGGGGGCGTGCAGGAGGCGGCCGGTCCATGATTCTCTCTCATCATGGATGTCTCTCTCTCCCTCTGCCTTCCTCTCTGAAATCAATAATGTATTTTTAAAAACAGGTACAGGTTCGCCTAAGTTGGTGTGGCTCAGTGGATAGAACCATCAGCCTGCAGACTGAAGGGTCCCGGGTTCGATTCCCGGTCAAGGTCACAGGCCCGGGTTGCAGGCTCGATCCCAGGTGGGGAGCGTGCAGGAGGCAGCCGGTCCCTGATTCTCTCTCATCATGAATGTCTCTCTCTCTCTCTCTCTCCCCCTTCCTCTCTGAAATCAATCCTATATAATAAAAGCCCAGCGACCGTAACGGCGTAACGACCAGAACGACCGACTGACCAGCCGCTATGACCGCCTCTCGGTCCCTCCCCACAGCCCGCAGCCTCCGATCGATTGCCCGGCCACTGGGGAACCAGGGTGGGTAGCGGCGGGGCGGGACTAGGGACTGGCCAGTGGGCGGAAGACGGCCCTGACCGCAGGCTAGACCTGGGACCCTCCCAGCGCCCGATTTGGTGCGCTGGGGCTCCAGTAAGGATATATTTTTTTAAAAAAAAAAGAGAGAGAGAGGAGAAGGGGCTGGGACCAGACCCCGGGGGGCGGGGGAGGAGAGGGGACGGACTCACAGCTTGACCAGGAAGGGGTGGCTGACTTCCTTGAGGACCGACTTCTCGTTGTGCACGTGCTGCTCCTGCTTGAGCCGGATGACGTCGGGGATGCTCATGACCTTGAGCGCGAAGAACTGCTTGCCCGTCTTCTGCCGGACGAGCTGCACCCGCCCGAAGGTCCCTGTGCCTGCGGAGGAGCAAGACGGGGGGCTGAACGGGCACCGGGATTGGACCGGCAAGAGTCCAGCCGGCCGGGCTCAGGGGTTGAGCGTCGACGTAGGAACCAGGGGGTCCCGGGTTCGAATCCCGGTCAAGGGCACAGGCCCGGGTTGTGGGCTTGATTCCCAGTCGGGGGCGTGCAGGAGGCGGCCGATCCATGATTCTCTCTCATCATGGATGTTTCTCTCTCTCTCTCCCTCTCCCTTCTTCCCTGAAATCAATAACAATACAGTTTAAACAATACTCTACAGGCCCTGGCCGGTGTGGCTCAGTGGATAGAACGTCGGCCTGCGGACTGAAGGGTCCCGGGTTCGAATCCAGCCAAGGGCATGGACCTGGGTTGCGGGCACATCCCCAGTGGGGGGCGTGCAGGAGGCGGCTGATCGATGTTTCTCTCTCATCGATGTTTCTGACTCTCTGTCCCTCTCCCTTCCTCTCTGCAAAAAATCAATAAAATATATTTTCTTTAAAAAAAGATCATTTGGAGGCAAGAACAGAACTGCACACTCGGACCTCGGCCCCCGAGCCTCTCCCATCTCGATCGATCTGGTTCCCGACCAACCCGTTGGCGGAAAAGCTGCCCCCGTCATGGACCAGAACTTCAGTTTTTTTGGCCCGAAAACCCTTTTAAGTTGAGGCCTCAGCCTGAGAAAAACGACTCCCCGTCAACACACAGAGGAGGGAATGCTTTTGTGTCGGACGAAAATCCACGATGGGCACAATTTTATTTATTTCATTTTTTTTTTAAAAAAATATATTTTATTGATTTTTTTACAGAGAGGAAGGGAGGGGGATAGAGAGTCAGAAACATCGATGATGAGAGAGAAACGTCGACCAGCTGCCTCCTGCACGCCCCCCACCGGGGATGTGCCCGCAACCAAGGTACACACCCTTGGCCAGATTCGAACCCGGGACCCTTCATTCCGCCGGCCGACGCTCTATCCACTGAGCCACACCGGCCAGGGCATTGTTCCATTTTTTTTAATATTTTCTTTCCTTAAAAATTCTCGATTTAGCACATTTTCTACTTCAGAGAATAAATGTGAGAAACGTAGGTTGTTTTAAAAATAGCACAGCAGCTGCTTGATAGGTGATTCGATGGGCAGAGTTACACAATACCCCCAAAAAATGACCAGAAATAAGACATTCTCTCTAACAGAGCTGCCGGAAAAAATCCTGATTATTAAAACCCTGGAGCCCTGGCCGGGGTGGCTCAGTGGATAGAGCGTCGGCCTGCGGACGGAAGGGTCCCGGGTTCGATTCCTGGCCAAGGGCACAGGCCCGGGTTGCGGGTTCGATCCCCAGTGGGGGGGCCTGCAGGAGGCAGCCGGTCCATGATTCTCTCTCATCATGGATGCTTCTATCTCTCTCTCGCCCTCTCCCTTCGTCTCTGAAATCAATAAAAATATATAAACAAACAAAAAAAACACAACTTTTCAATATAGTTATAGCCCTGACCGGTGTGGCTCAGTGGACAGAGCGTCGGCCTTTCGGACTGAAGGGTCCCGGGTTCGATTCCTGACCAAGGGCATGGACCTGGGTTGCGGGCACATCTCCAGTAGGGGGCGTGCAAGAGGCGGCTGATCGATGTTTCTCTCTCATCGATGTTCCTAACTCTCTCTCCCTCTCCCTTTCTGTCTGTAAAAAAATCAATAATATATATTTTATAGAAAAAATAAATAAAAAGAAGTCACATAAACAATCGCAAAAGACCTGGGAGTGTCTGTCCCAGGCCAAGGCCGCTAAGGAATGTCGTAGGCGGGACATGCCTGGCATTCCTGGCTCAGGCCTGGAGCTCCCATGGGCGCCCCGACTGCAGCTACGACTGGCACAAGGGGTGTTTTCACCCAAACAGCCACGATCGTCGGACGTCATCCACGCACAGTCCACGCCAGCCGGGTGACACCCACAGCCGTACACTACCCCCAGACGGGGTACCTGATGATGTCACGGGATCCCCCACATGACAGAACGTGTCTCAATGCCCTTGTCATTGGGGGGTTTTTCAGCACAGCTGCCGTTTGGGGCTGCAGGAATTTTGGTGGTGGTTGATGGTAGGGGGGTGCTAGTTTGTAGAATTTTATCCCTGAAACGTGTAGAATTTTATGGACCAACTAGCGGCCCGGTGCACGAAATTCGTGCACTTGAGGCCGGGGGGGGGGGGGGGGCGGGGCTCAGCTTGGATTGCGAGAGGGCGCAGGCATGATCGGGGCCAGGGAGGGACTGCAGGGGGGCCTCCAGGGCGTGTCCGGCCCGTCTCGCTCAGTCCCGATCGGCCGGACCCCAGCAGCAAGCTAACCTACCGGTCTGAGCATCTGCCGACTAGTGGTCAGTGTATGTCATAGCGACTGATCCACCGGTCCACTGTCTGCCCCCTGGTGGTCAGTGCACGTCATAGGGACTGGTTGACCGGTAGGCTGTCTGCCCCCTGGTGGTCAGTGCACGTCACAGCGACTGGTCAACAGGTCAACTGTGTGCCCCCTGGTGGTCATTGCACGTCATAGCGACTGGTCGACCAGTCGACTGTCTGCCCCCTGGTGGTCAGTGCACGTCACAGCGACTGGTCGACCAGTCGACTGTCTGCCCCCTGGTGGTCAGTGCACGTCATAGCGACTGGTCGACCAGTCGACTGTCTGCCCCCTGGTGGTCAGTGCACGTCATAGCGACTGGTCGACCAGTCGACTGTCTGCCCCCTGGTGGTCAGTGCACGTCATAGCGACTGGTCGACCAGTCGACTGTCTGCCCCCTGGTGGTCAGTGCACGTCATAGCGACTGGTCGACCGGTCGACTGTCTGCCCCCTGGTGGTCAGTGCATGTCATAGCGACTGGTTGACCGGTCGACTGTCTGCCCCCTGGTGGTCATTGCACGTCATAGCGACTGGTCGACCAGTCGACTGTCTGCCCCCTGGTGGTCAGTGCACGTCACAGCGACTGGTCCACCGATCAACAATCTGCCCCCTGGTGGTCAGTGCACGTCACAGCGAGCACTTGAGCGGCCTTAGCATACCATTAGCATATTACGCTCTGATTGGTTGAACGGCCGACCTGTCAACCAGACACTTAGCATATGAGGCTTTTCTTATAGAGGATGTCAACCCAATAATTTCAGTTAGAAAGACATTAATTATCACAGTGGTTTAAGGGGTTTCTTTCACCTCAAAGACAGCAGAAGGCGGGTGAGTTGAAGAACACAGGGATGGCCCTGGCCAGTGTGGCTCAGTGGATAGAGCGTCGGCCGGCGGACTGAAGGGTCCCGGGTTCGATTCCAGGTCAAGGGCACAGGACTGGGTTGCGGGCTCCATCCCCAGTAGGGGGTGTGCAGGAGGCGGCCGATCCGTGATTCTCTCTCCTCATGGATGTTTCTCTCTCTCTCTCCCTCTCCCTACCTCTCTAAAACCAACAAAAATATATCTATTTTTTAAAATCTAGAAAAAATGAAAAACTTTTTTTTAAAAAAGGGTGAGTCCAAAGCCATAAAGGGAATCGAGACTGGTGAGGTTGGAGTAAACAGTTCAAGAGAAGGAAGGGGTTTCGAAACCCTTTGGGTGGATTCTTTACTCAAAGGGCAACAGGACATCAGGAGGCTGAGAGGAGGGAGGTGCCTGCGTGGGTTTTGGTCGTGCAGGGTTTTGTGTTGTTGCCAGGACTCCTCTGAGGGCCCGGCCAGTGTGGCTCAGTGGTTGAGCGTTGACCTATGAACCAGGAGGTCACCGTTCGATTTTAGTCCAGGGCACGTGCCCGGGTTGGGGGCTGGATCCCCAGTAGGGGTCGTGCGAGAGGCAGCCGATCCATGATTCTCTCTCATCATGGATGTCTCTATCTCTCTCTCTTCTTCTCTGAAATCAGTAAATATATATTTTTTTTTAAAAAAAGAAAGAAAGAAAAAAAAAGAATGGGTGAGTCAAAAACCAATAAGGAAACTTGAGATTCGTGAGGTAGGAAGAAACCGGTCAGGAAAAGGAAGGGATTTTGAAATTCTTTGCTTCAATTCTGTTTTTTTTGTTCTGTTTTTGCTTTTGTTTTGGTTTCTGGTTAATCCTCCCCCGGGGATATTTTTCCGTTGCTTTTTAGAGAGAATAAAAGAGACAGAGGGAAATATTTTTTTTAAATATAGTTTATTGATTTTTTTTTTTTTTTTTTTTTACCGAGAGGAAGGGAGAGGGATAGAGAGTTAGAAACATCGATGAGAGAGAAACATCGATCAGCCGCCTCCTGCACGGCCCCCACTGGGGATGTGCCCACAACCAAGGTACATGCCGTTGACGGGAATCGAACCCGGGACCCGTTGGGCCACAGGCCAATTCTCTATCCACTGAGCCAAACCAGCTAGGACGGTGTGAATTATTTACACCATGGTCTGCAGCATGTCACGTGGCTGCGAACAGGGAAGTGCCTGGGTGGGTTTGGCTTGTGTAGGGTGTTGTGGTATTGTGTAAAGGTTCTCCTGATGTCAGACAGGCCAGGGGAGTGGAGGCTGCAGGACAAATAAGACAGAGATGCAGAGTCAAGAGACATGAGCTGTGATTGTTGGGAGAGGCACAGCTGGGAGGCGGGCACGGGACAAATAGAAAACCGGCCATGGAAACAGACTAGATGGGGCTGGGCCAGTGAGGGTGGGTGGAGATGAATGCCAGGCAGCGTTGAGGTAGCTGAGCAGCTCATGAGAGCAATGACTGCACAGGTCAACTGGGCAGCTGCTTTACATACCAATGGCCTGTCCTCGCTCAGGACTCAGACTTTGCTAAAATCTCTTAAACAAGCAGCGGCTGGCATGAGTGTGTCCCATACCTATCAACAAATGGCCCCCAACACACACCCCGCCACACACACACACACACACACACACACACACACTTAGTAGCAGCCTGTCTCTCTCCTTTTTTAAAAATAAAAATATATATATTTTTATTGATTTCAGAGAAAAAGGGAGAGGGAGAGAAAGATAGAAACATCCATGAAACACGTGTT